ACTTTCACTCTTCTGGAAATGCAGCAAAACTGTATCTATCTTTTTTTTGTGACTCCTTAGGTTTAAAAAAAAAATATTTCTTAGCTTTGACTTCACTGTCATGGGCAAGGCAGGGTCCTTTCAGTGACATTTAATGTGTGTGAATTGCTATGGTCTTCCCAAGCTCAAATAGCTACACAAACCACACCTCCCTCTGTCCCAAAATCCTCCCTAAGTGTGGCTGGGAGAAAAGGGAAGATGTACAGGCAATAACAACTGGGAACAATTCAGTTTCAGGAACAGATACCTCACTTTTGCCACTCTGCTGTGGTTTAGTATCAGTTGGATAATAAATGGTGACAGTAGTGGGCAGGGACTGAAGGTTTTTTTTTTTATCCATTGCACCCTATGAAAGTTCCACAGAACTAGATAACCAGATATCCCTGATTTTAATGTCATCAGGCAAGAGGAATTTTTCATATTATTTCCTAGGACATTTTCAGCACAAAGAGATAATATTAGGTGATTCAATAGCCTGTGCATCATTGTAAAGTTTTGATAGCTCTATTCATAAACCATGAAATGCTGGTTTTTCTTAATCACAAAAAGGAGTAATACCATTAAGTATGCATAATCCATACAATGAAAAAGTCTAAAAAAAAAAGGATAAATTAATACTTTCTAGGCATATTTACACAGCAGAGGCAGACAGATGCAAACCCTGTGGCTATGGGGACTGCAGAGTATGAGGGCTGCTAGTGCTCATCTCGGGAAGAGCAACAGTCATTCCAGCACATTGCAGGGGCTGAGCTCAGGAGTTTCTGACACTTTATTTGTGTAGACTTAACTCTCCTCCTCTCCCCCATGGAAAGATTACAAAGTTATTTAGGAATTATTTGATATGCCTATTTTTCTAAAACGTAGGCTTGCGTTTGCAGAGATTACTCCAGAAATTTGGCAGCACCCATTATTGTTTTTCTGTTATGTATTTGATGGTGGGATGCTCTATGAGGTTTGCTTGAAAATCAGAATAAGCAATAGCATAGGAAAATTCTTTCCAGGAGATAAAGAGACTCCTGCATTTAGATGAAATGACAGGGACAACAGATTCTGATTTAAACAGGCTCTGAGGACACCTGGAGCCAAATCCTTGTTACCTGACAGTCCTACAAAACAAGTCTATGCTCTCTGAGCTACACGGGCTAAGACATGCAGGTACAAGGAATGCTGCAGTGTAGAGGAAGGACAGTCACAGGCAGAGAGGCAAAATCAGTTTCCTTCCTGAAACTAATTGGGAATTTAGATTATGTAATGATATAATATATATATATAATGTTATGATATAAAGATATAATGATATAAATCACTTTAGGTGGATTCAATATGCATATTGCCCCTCTTGAGAGCTTTAACACTTCAACACCACTGCTGTAGCAATGCTACATGGCCCAGAGATGAGGGGTCATGGGGTCAGATAGAGGAGGACATCAACATATAAACCAGTGCCTGGGGTTCCCACCTGGCAGGGGAGACACTGGGGTTCCCAAACAACCCTGGTTGTAAATGACAAAACCCTTGTGTTCTGCTGCACAAGTGAGGGCTTAAGTCTTCACATCAAGAAAAAGAAAAATGAAAAAAGAAAATGTTCTAGATGATGGAGGTCAACCAACTCTCCCGGGAAGCAGGAGATGATAGTGGGAACACAGTCCCAGCAAGAAAGGAAGAGTGGCTGAGACTCTTCTCCTTTTGAACCCTCTAACCTCTGCTCTATTGCATAAAAGTTTCTCAGCAGACTCTTCAAAAAGAGATGGGCCCTACTCAATCTTCTCTGAGGACAAGCATGTACTCCTAGTACTCAGGAAGCTTTGGGGCTGTTGACCTGCCAAGGGGAGATGTTTCCTCCAGCCCTGACAAAATCTCCCAACCCTGTGGAGAACTGGGATAAACTGAGATTTCAGCTCCTCTCTGGGCAGTTTTCTGGTTTGCACCTTGTCAAGTTTGTAGAGTTAAAAAGGTCCTAAAGTGTAGCAGGGCCACAGGTATTCAGGTGACCTCTGTTCTTTTTTGGATTACATTATTTGGCAGAGGGCAGCTGACACTTGCTTAGAGCTCTTCTACACAGAGATTAAATGCATGCAGGGGAGATTGTAAAGGGGTGTAATGAACTTTCATTTAGCCTGGGAGCTTGGAGCTGTAATTAACAGCACTTGGCACATCTGTTCTGAATTTGGTGCTGACAAAGCCAAGCAGGACTTCAAGTGGTTTTAAGACAGTAAACTACCTAGATGCTTCATGTGAAGGGACCCAGGGAGAAATATGGTCTGGGTTTTCAAGGACTATTTGCTGTAACCCAGCAGCAAGACCTGCACGTAGGCAGGAATGAGCTGGTGCCTTTGCCATGGGAAGCACCAGCTCCTCCTGCCTACTGAGTGGATTAAATGCTCCATTTCCCAGTCAAACAAAAAACAAAATGCCAAGAAAAGGATAAATCTAACCAAACGGAGAAACTGCTTTCTAATCTGGAGGGTTTACTTGTTAAATTCTAAAGAGGAATAGACAGAAACTCAAATGCTTCTGAAAGGTGGAGCAGGGAAACAGCTCAGCCTGGAACAGGACTTTTAGGCACTGAGATGCTCAAAGGTGCTTTATTTTACTTTTGTACAGGCACCTCCTTTGGAAGCATGGGAGGAAAGAAAGAAACCAGCACATGCTCCCCTAGTTCAGCTAGGAGATACTCTCCATAGCTGTTGTTGGGTAAAATCATTAAAATACCATCACCACAGGAACTGCTTCAGTACAGGGGGGCTGTTGCTCCCTTGTCTCAGTTTATCAGCTTAGATGAAGTTTTTCTGTGACTGCTTTGGTAAGACAGGTTACACCAGCACTTCCTTGGATTTATTTTACCTGCATTTTCTCTGGAGATATCCTACACCCACCTGGACGTGTTTCCTGGGCACCCTGCTCTGGGTGACCCTGCTGGAGCAGGAGGGTTGGACTAGATAATCTCCAGAGGTCCCTTCCAACCCAACCATTCTGTAATTCCCAAGCACAAATAGCTTCTGTGCCCTGTCTGCACCCTGACACACAGGCTCTGGAGCCAGCCTGTGGCAGTGGTCGTTCATCCAGCCTGCCCTTACTGTCAGCCAAGAGCCTCAACATGTCTGAAAACCAATAAAAGACCAAAACACCATTTGCACCTACATTTTGAGCACTGAGCTCTGGTTTTTAATCCATTTATCCTACTCCAAGCTGAACCTTTTTACTACTTCACCTGCTTAACCAAACCTTTGTGAAGAGGAAGGACAGCCAACCAAGTCAGAAGGTATCAGCAGCACCTTCCACACGTGAGCTTCTACAGAGAGCTGGAACTGCTGGCAAGGAGCCCTATCTTCCCTGCACCATAGTCATCAGAGCAGGTGCTTTAGCCTTCCTTTCCTGCAGCAACACCAGCTGTCACTTGTCTCCTGAGTCAAAATACTTTCATGCCTATCAACAGCTCATAATTGATGTGAAATCAGTGATCCTCCTTGCAAAGTTCATCCTAGATATGCCAGAAGAACCAGACTCTCAACAGAGAGGTGCAAGTCTAATGAGAAGCTCTCAGCTAACAGAATCCAGTTGCCTTTAGCAATGGACAAGCATGCATGACTATCCAGGGTTTCCTAATTATTGTAATTTAGTCAGTCTCCCTTATTAAAGGAGCATTTTTCTGCCTGGGGATGTTCTAATCACAGAATGACTTCTCACTCTTACCACTATAAAATACTGCTCCCATGACATTGTTTAGATTTATAGCCCTAACTGTAGAAAGAACAAAGGAGATGAAAAGAAAGTTGTTAGAAATACTTTGTTTGTTACTTGTGGGTTTTTTTTTATCAAGAGCATTTTAGGAGTTTAACATGAAGAGAAAAGAGGAAAAAAAAAAAAGAATTTTCACCCTGATAGTCTAGATATGAAAATAATCACATCAAGAAAATAAATGTAACAGCAGCATGTTAAAAGAAACCCTCATTAATTAATTTTAGAACTACAGATCAACTTTTTCCTTAACAGGGGTGGAAACCTGTTGCAGTTCCACTGATTCCACTGGCATTTTCAGAGCATTAACAATCCCACAGAAATCCAAATTGCCTCTGAGCCTTTTACCTAACATCCTGTCAGAGGATGTAGGTGCCTGTATCCTTCCAGCTGGAAGTGACCTCTCTGGTCCTGAGCTCCAGAAGGAATGGCAGGGGGCTTCTTGTCAGACTTTTTAGAAACTTGCACTTGTTGAGCAACACGACACAACAGTAAAGTGACACTTGGAATGCAGCATGAAATTAGGCACAGAAATCCAAAGGAAAGGTGGCTTTCAGTACCTCTTTCAGCTTTTTTCCTACATTCCCATATCACAGGGGTGATTCTTGTTTCTGGAGATGAATGAATACACTTCCCATGCCATTCAACAGCATCCACTGCTGAATGATTCATCTGGTGCATTCCTAACTGCAGCCTTGAACAGACACTGCATCCCCCACTCAAGTTAAAAACAAAGCCAACCAGCTAATTAGAATTTGCCCCTCCTGATTAAAAAACAAACCAAGCAAACAAAACCCAACAAAATCCACTCTCACTTCTGTACAATGTTTGTTGCAGTTGGAAAACTGAAAAGAAATACCTTAGATAGAGATGATGGCTATAAGGAATTATATAAAATATGTGTTAAACTAATACAAGCTTCTGATTAAAGATATATGTATTATTACAATATCTCTATAGAAAAAAGTGTCCTCTCCCCTGTTGCAAGTGGACACGAGCAGCTACAACCTGTAAGTCTCAACTCCAACTCTTACAACTAGTTTGTTTTTCAGTAAATGCCTCCTGTATGCTGTCCTCCTTCTTTTGCAGGGGGGTGAAAAAAACTCCACCAATATCTGGGCAAAAAAAGTTCACTGATTATTAGTCGCCTCCCTGCAGAGAGGCTGAAAATGCACCCAAGCTGCAAGCACGTGAGCAAAGGAATACATGCCTTAAAAGAATACCTTAAAAGAATAGTAAAAGGATCCCCACTCCTCTTCTGCCACCACTTCAGTGAATGTCACCGTTTCAGTGCAGGTGACAAGGGTAAGATCCAGCCAGCCGGTGCTTCCCTGGGAGCTGCTGCTGGTTTCTGTGGAGCCCACCTCCATCCCTGGGTTCTGTTCCAGTTGTCCAGGGTTTTTTTTTTGTAAGAGTTAAAGCAGCCAAGCTTCTCTTGTAAAAGCACAGCAGCAAAACCAGCTCCTCACTGCTCCACCACTGGCTACCAGAGGCGTCGGGCTTCAGCCGAGTGATAGGAGAAAGGAGAAAAAAAAAAAAGAAAAATCCAAGCTGGCATCATCCCTTTGGTACAGGATACCCAGATACAAGCACCAACGTGCTCTCCTGTACCAGCCAAAATCTATGAAGTCATTAGGATTAAGCATTCACAGTTTCCTTGTCAGTGTCTGGCTGAATTCTGAAGTTGTCTATACCAAGGGAAAAAAAATAAAAGTCATAAAGAGGCGTTTGCATTTACCTTTGCACTTCCCTTTTCCAGCACACCCAGCACTTTCCTCACTCTCTGGAGAGCCTCTGGAAAGGTGCAGCTCCTAGAGACTGCTGCTGACACTTAGAGGACTCTGCAGAACAAGGTAATTATCTTTCAATTATCAATTATCTTTCTACTTGCTGATTTTCCAGGCACCGATCTTACCTACCCTCTGTCGATTTGGATGGTTTTCTCCATCTCTACTGGTGTCACCCTGGGTTTACAACAGGGTGGCAGATGAGAATGTGCACAGCTTTCCTGACCAGGATGCAAACTCACGTGTGAATCCAGAACTTGTCCAGCTTTGGGGAGATGCTCTGCCTAGCTGCCAACACAATCCTAAGCACAACGTGATGTGTTTCACAGCCGTGCCCCACCGACTCCATTTCCCATGGCAGGACCAAGTCCTGTGCTCACGTGTGTGCAAGCACAGATGGTTGTGGAGGAGCTCAGGAGGTGTTAAACTCCTCACTCTGGCCAGCACAGCACAACCTCTCCCCAGCTGCTGGAGCAGGGGTCTCCACAACACGCCCACAGCATCCATGTCCACCATCCAAGTGGGTCTGTGTCCAACCCTGCCTATGTGAGTAGCAAGATGGGGGTGGCTGCAGGGTCCTCTGGCTCCAGGGTCAGCACTGGTGAGGGATGGGAGCACAACTGTGAAATTCAGGTCTTGATTTTGACTTTGAACCCTACTGAGCTGGGACTTGTCTAGACTTGAGGCTTTGGACCAGGCTGTTCTGGGGAGAGGAGAAACCACTGAGAGTCTGAGCAATATGCAGAACTCTTCAAGAGCTGCTGGAGTCATTCAGAGAAGGGAATTGGTCTAGGCCCACATAGGTAATTAGAACCAGTCCTGATGAGAAAGGATGAAGACCAATCCGTATGCACCAGTGATCAATATTTAACAGCAGCGAATGATGCATGGGCTGGAATGTGTTCAGATAAAAAGAACTATCCTAGAGTCACTCTGTTTTGCTGAAAACCATTGAGAAAATGCTCATTAATATATTATTGACAAGAAAGGAGGAAATCTTTTTGAAGATTTTTTTCCCAGCTGATAGTAGAGGTTACTTCTGAACCTGTGCTATGAAGTATTTAAGTAACATCCAAGCTTCTTGAAAGCACACTGCCAGTTTTTCTCTTCCTCCTTCTTCTTACCTTGGGATTTTTTTTTTTGGTATGTACAGAATTCTCTTTGAGTTACAATTTATCCCACTGAATGTTGGTTTTTTTGGCACTTTCATTCCTACAGAGCTATTACTCTCGAGCATATTACAGGCACTAAGAGGCTTTTCAGTAGTTACATTGCACGCCAGCTCGTGCACAGCTCTCAGGACTAACCGAGAGTGACTTCTCTGGTGGCTTTGCCAGCTGCTTGCTCTAAGTAGTGCTTATGGTGCTATAAAAGGCTATACCCTGCCCTGCTCCAGCACTTTCCAGTCTACAAAGAGGTAATTGAAGTCTTCCATTACTATTAGTTTTTCTGGTTTTCTGTATTTCTCAGTTTGTTGACACCTGGTTTTGCTGAGGTGCTGTTTTATTTTCCATTTAGTCACTGAATTTGAAGCCTTGGGCCATTTTGGTACCCCACTAGAATTAACCTAATTCTCTAGGACACAACACTTTGTTTTTAAACCTCTCCAAAGTCATGCCAGCTCACCAAAATTTGGGGGTTGTTCCACCTCACTCTCCACTCTAAGATTAAGCAAACTGAATGGTGAAGTAAAATATTTTAATGATTAAATCTCAAAAGCTGATAAAGGACAAGAATGAATCCCAGCAATTCCTCTGTGGAGAAGAAGAGTTGATTGATTCCTACAACTGACTTTGTTGTTTTCCTCACCCAAGACATTAAAAAGTCTGTGAGAACTTTCAGTGATTGAAGAGATACAAACAGCTTTATGGAGAAAGAAATTAAGTCTTCTCTCTGCTTTAATATATTTAATAGATATTATTTATAAATATAGATATAATTAATATAATTTAATATAAAATGCTGTCAAGTTATTGTTTTTCTAACATATAATAAAATATGATGCTGCTTTCTTAACCTTCTTGAATGCCTTTAAATAAAGTCACACTTCAGTGTTGCAGCACAGCAGAATTATGCTTCATAAGAAGGAAAGATTAAACAATTTTGGAAACAACCTTTAAGAAAAAGAATGGATTACTGGGAAGAATAAAGAGGACTTATTTTAGAGGCCACTTCGTTGGCCATTCCCTTTATCTTGGTCTAAAAAGCGACACAAGTTTAGTTTGCTTAAATAAAGCCTTGAACCAAAGGACCAGGAATCCTAAGAGGGATTCAGTGAAAGCTGAAGAGAACATTCTGTGGCTGAAGTGTGCAACAAAACTGATAATTCTCCACGTGCAGATACACAGGGGGAGACCTGCAACACCTGTCTTGTGTCTCCTCACATTGGTGTGAGACTCCTGAACAAGAAGAAGAGAAAATCTTGCACAACTGCAGAAAGTACCTCTGAAAAAAAAACAAACAAACAAACAAACAAAAAGCGATGAGTTTAAGTTTTTAAAGACCAGGTATGAGATAAGGTTCTTTAAGCCATCAATTCCTGATGCAGAACCTCTGGTCTTTCCTGCACAGCAGCTGTGGAACACAATAGCATCACTGGGATGACACACAGCCATGAGGGACATGGCTCTCCAAAAATCAGCAGCAGGAGGAGGAGGAATGACTATGCAAGAATACACAGTTCCCTAGTTTGTCTTCTCTGATAGAAACTGTTTTCTGGCAGTTTTTGTTGTGCATGATGTTGATAATTTACCCAAAGTCACCCGATCTAAACATTCTGATGTCTCTAATTCTTTAAAATTTTAGGTACATCTGAAATGGTCAGAAAAAAAGATCAAGGCTATATTATTTTTTTACAGAGAATCTGTAGGTTTCTCATTGCTGCATTTAGGCAACATGGAGAGTGAATTGAAAAAAATAATTGTATTTTTGCTCTTTGGAGTTTTTGCACCCTGGGGTAGCTGGGCATAGTCATATTAAATGCAAAGATGAAATAATGTTATCAGACTGCAGGAAGAAAGAGAATGAGCTATTTTGTGCTTCTAAAAGAATAGAAAGTTAATTGCTTTTCTGTAAGAAAAAAACATTCTTATCCAAATCTGTACATGCTGGCTTTGGAAGAGGAAGATCAGTCTGCTCTTCCTGATGCACAGCCCTTCTCCCAAGAGGATGAATATCTGGGGCGGTGTGGAGGAGCTCAGCTGCTGACTCTGGGAGGGTAGGACCACTGGGGAGCTGCATTCCCACAGTCTTGCTGCATGGGAGAGGAGCAGAAATCAAAAAAATCATAATCATAGGATCATAGTGGGTTGGAAGGGATCTCCAAGGGTCAACTAGTCCAACCTCATTGCAATAAATCACACCTTAGTGACACAATTCCTGTTATCTGGTGTAAGCTTGTTTCCTTTTAATTTACAAGCTGCTTAGCATGCACGTTGTCTTCCTTTGGTGCTGTGTCTCTGGAGGGGTGGGCTCTGTTCAGCACAGGTAGGGGATACCCAAACAAGATGAAATGTTGCCTTCAGAGCTGGAACCAGCCAGGGCTTCAAGTGGCCCCAAAGTGTTTCGTGTCTGGGAGGGGATGCCCGTGATTCTGGAGTTTTGGAGGTCTATATATGTTTAGCCAGGCTGTAACTATTCCCCCATTCACACTTCTACATTTTTTTTTTAGCCTTTCCAGGTGGAGATGACATCAGGTCTCTAAAATCTTCAAAGACTTGAAATAGCAATGATCTCTTATGGGCTAAATATAGAATCGTATAAAGTTTGGGGTTGGAAGGCACCTTTCAAGGCCACCTAGTCCAAAGTCCATGCAGTCAGCAGG